CTAGCAGGGGGCGTGAGCAGAAGTGCGCCCCCCTCCCTGGAAGCGATGTGCGCCTGCTCTAAAGCGCCTGTTCACGGCATGGAGGGTGAGCCACACCGAACGTACCGAGCGAAGGGCCGAGCGGAAGGAGGACGGGGAAAATGACTCAGAGGAGGACGAACCAGTGGAAATTCAGTTGTCAGATGTCACGATGCATCCGAAGGGGACCCCAGCGCCGGCATCATCCGTAGAGGCACGAGTGTTCGAAGAGAGAGTGGACCTGAGCAACAACATGACGTGTAGGCAAATGATCGGAGTGGGAGTCAGAAATGTGGTCCTTGCGCGAGGGGAGCTTGATAGACTCGAGGGGCCAGGATACGCCGCGAGGAGGACGGAGTTGCGCAAGGCGAAAGAAGCCGCGAGAACAAGGGACCGGCAGGCGGCGGCGTCGCAGGACGAGGCAGAAGAGAACGACGCGACAGAGGAGGAAGTGACAAGGGAGAGACCGACGAGAGTGGGACGGCCGCGAGGTGGCATGAAGGTTGCAGCGAGAAGCGGCGAGAGACTGCGAAAAGAGATACGAAGAGGCAGACTCCCCAGGGTGGGCGACGGCTAGCGCACCACACTCCTCTCCTTAAAATCCCTGTGTGGTGGCGGCGTGCCGTTCTCCCATCCCTCCCTTGGGTTGTGTGTTTTCTTTCTTTCTTTCTTTCGCACAGTAGTGTGTGTACGTTGGACGAGGTGTGGTGTGGACGCGAGAATACTTAGCTCCGCCGTTCATGGAGGTAACCGATGCGAGTGCGCGGCGCATCCCCCGGCGAGTAGAGGGGGCGCTCCGCTGCTAGGGGAAACCTGGAGCGCGGACTAACCCTCGGAGACCCGTGTTTACTTTACGGTCCTTTCCCTGCGAACGCGCACCCCCCTAGGGGTCAGGGCTCTCTAGCCCGCAGCCCGATGCCGATCATCCGGCCCGCTGGGTGTGCGCTTCTTAGCTCCCCGGCCCTGGATGTGAGGTTGATAACTGCACTCCAAGTGCTCCGGCGGCCCGACTGTGGCCGGCGCTTGCGCGCCAGCCCCGTCCGCCGCCGGATCCGCGGCCGCGGGGTCCTTGTCATAGCTACCGGTACGCGCGCCATGGGGCGACTTTGTTATGTACCTTATCTTGTGCAACACGACCCTCACACTGTGGCGCCTCGCGCTCCCGGAGAGAGAGAGAGAGATTTTTAGCAATACCAAACAACTCACACGAGAATGTCTCAGACACTGACGTCTCACACCGGCAAGCACCACTACCAAGGCGCCGGGCGGCAGTCTCGGCTCTCACGCCGCTCTCCGGTACGTGTACCGCCCGTTCGCAAAGCTGACCGCGACCGGCGCGCCGTCCGCGCCTCCGAGCGCGTCGACGGCGGCGTCGCGCGCACCGGCCGTCTCGACGAGCAGCCTCGCGGCGGTGGCCACGTCGGCGTCCGCGCCGCCGGCGACGACGAGCTCCCTCAGCCTCTTGAAGGCGTCGGCCGCGCGCACGTCGCGGATCGCCTGCTTGAGCGCCGGGTGGAAGTCTCCCGAGAGCACGTCCTCGGCGGGCCACCACTTTGTGGCCGCGTACTCCTTCTCGTCGAAGACGGCGCCGGCGACCTCGGCGTCGCCCAGCGCGAGCCGGTGCACCGTCGAGATGTCAGCCGTGCCGTTCCCCGCCGGCGGCTGCTGCCGGAACTGCCAGACGAACGAGTAGTTTGCGACCACCTCGAAGCGCTCGAGAGGCAGGTCGAGCTTGAGCTCGCGCCGCACGTTGCGCGCGGCGGCCGCCTCGGGCGTCTCGCCCGGCTTCGACCGGCCGCCGATGTACCACCAGTCCGGCTGCGGCTCCACCTTGCGCTGGCCCAGGAAGACCTTTGAGCCGCTCGCGTCGGTCACGAGGACGTCGGAGCACGCCTTGACGACGGTGTCGAGACAGCGGCCGTACTCGTCGTCGGGCAGGAAGCAGTGGCGCGGCGTGAACTCGCCGGTGATGAACTGCGGCGTCCGTTGCATGGCTGCGGGTGACGCTTTCTCTTGCACGGGACCCTTTCTGCGGAAGATGATGGCCGCCGAACGTCTCGTGGAGCAGCAGGTTGAAGTTGTTGCGCTTGACAAAGATCGCGTCGTGGTAGAAACCGCGATGCGCCTTGACGTAGCTGTGGCCGTTCTTGTGGTCGAAGGGTTGGCCGGGCTGCCCGCGCGCCTTGCAGCCCATGTTTAGGCGGCGGGCCTTCTCCTCGGTGTTGCCGAAGGCGTAGGAGTGGCCAACGGAGGCGGGCGTGCCGCCACTCGAGGCGTTGTGCCAACGCCCGTCGAGGAGGTCTTGAGGAGGGGCGTCCAGAGCGAGACTTCATTCACCTCATCGCTCCTCCCGGCCCTGCTGGTGCGGTTGCGGCGACCCGGCGCGGGTGCCGCGCCCGCCGCTCGCCAGGCGATTGCCAACTTTGCCGCCGCGCTCTAGACGAGCACCGGCCGGTAGAGCTGCTTAACATTAACTTTGGGCCTAACTCTAACAGTTGCGCTAGTGTTGGCTGAAATCCTTAACGTTGTTCAGGTGTTCACCCCAGCCCATGCTGTTACTGTTTGTTACTGTTGTTACTGTTTGTTCAGCGGCCAGCAAGCAGAAAATGGCAAAACCCCCGGGTAAAATCCGAAAATACCTGGGGTTTTCCGGGTATTTTCGGGTATTACCCGCACTGGACGCTGGAGATCTCGTGGGTCACTGCCAGGCCTTCCTTATTGTTGTTCAGAGCCGGCCTAACGTTAGCTACTGTTGTTGGGGAGCCACAACTGTTGTTCTGTTGTTACTGTTAACCAACTAGCAACACTTTTCAGCTCCCAACGTTAAACAGCTCTACCGGCCGGTGCGTAGAAGACGGTGCTGGCGTGGAAGACGGCGGCCATCCGCGCGTATCTAGTGTGCGTGTCGGTGTCTGCAGCCTCCTGTCCTCCTGTGGAGCCTAACAGTAAGGCGGCCGGCGGTGGGGCGAGGGGGGGGGAGGGGGGTATGGTCCCGTCGGCAGGAGGCTGGGTCTGTCAGCTGGCGGGGGGGTATGGTCTCGAGGGGGTATGGTCTCGCGAGCATACCATACCATACCAAAAAGTCCGAACCCAGCGCTGTCACCATGAAAGGCGCTGTCGTCACCATGAAAGCGCATGTCTTGAAGGGGACTGGAAGCCCATATAAGCACCTTACAGTTGCGCTTCCTCGTGTGCGCTTCTTTCTTTTCTTTGTTTCTTTGTCGCCGTATTCGAGTAACCCCTGGACCCGACATGAGAGAGAGAGATTTTTAACAATACCAAACAACTCTATCTAACACTCACACGTCATTTGGGGCCTGGAGCCCTGTTCACGCGCGCGCGAGACGTACCATGAAAGGCGCTGTCGTCACCATGAAAGCGCATGTCTTGAAGGTGGTGGTAGGTACTGGAAGCCCATATAAGCACCTTACAGCCAATCCCGTTTCTCGAATCTCGCTTTCTCTTTGTTGAGAGGGGCTCGGGGAGTAAAATTCTCTTTGTAGGGGGAGAGGAAGAGCAAGGGCGAGAGAGGGCAAGGGACTGGGCGCTGGCATACCAGGGGGGGCAGGGTGGTGGGCGGCGACCGCCGCATACCGTCCTACGGCGGGGATTATCGCTACGCCAGGGAAGACAAGGGCGTCGAAGTGCAGCTGCTGCTGTTCGAATCGTTCGGCGGGTTTGGGAGGGGGGTCCGTGAGATCCTCCGGAGAGCGGCGGACGTGCTACAGAACAAGCTGACGCGGGCCCAGTACCTCGATGAGGTGACTTGGACCACCAAGAGCTGGCTGGGGCTGCAGAAGCAGCGCATCTCAGTCGTTCTTCACACGGCCATCGCAGAGCAGGTCGTGAATGAGCTTGCCTGTGGCGGGGGTGGGCGGGTGCACGGAGCTAAGTGCCTCGCCACCCTCGCAGGAGTCGCTTAGGCGGCTCCCGTGGTGTACCTGTGTTAGTGCCAGTGCGCGCCAGTCCCGTGCCCAGTGTTGTGCGGGGGAGTTTCGTTCTAAAATTCTCGCCAGTTCGCACCTGTGTCGAGCCTGTGTGCTGTGAGAGAGAGTTGTTTTGTTGGGCCTCTAAAATTCTCTTTGTTGCTGTAGCGCTGTCCGCTATGAAAGGTGCTGTCGTCCTGGCGCTCGCCTCCTCCGCGGCCGCGCTGCAGTGCGCACCGCGGCGCGCACCCCCCGCGGCCCGCGCGGCGCCGCTCACCATGGTGGACGACAACCCCATCGGCGTCGGCATTATTGGCGCGGGCCGGATCGGGCTCGTGCACCTCGAGGCGCTGTCGTCGTGCCCCGACGCGCGGCCGGTGATCATCTCCAACCCGACGCTGTCCAAGGCCAAGGCAGCCGCCGAGACCTACCCCGGCATGGCGTGGACCAGCGACGATACGGAGGTGATCAACCACCCCGACGTCGACGCGGTTTGGATCTGCTCGCCGTCGCAGGCCTCGCCTGATTCGCCCCTCCGCGCCTCCGCCGCCCCCGTCTCCTCCCTCCCCTCCCTCTTCGCCCTCCCACCACCGCCGCCTCCTCCGCCGCCACCGCCTGCTCCTCCTCCCTCCCTGCGCATCCGCCTCTCCGGCCGCCCGGCCCCGTCCTCTCAGCGGCTCCTCCCCTGCCCTCCCTTGCCCCTCCCTCGCCCATCCGAAACTCCTCCCTTGCTCCTCCCGTGACCGCCCGCCGGCCTTGCCCGCCGCAGTTCCACGCGGAGCAGATCACGGCGGCGGCGAACGCCGGCAAGGACATCTTTTGCGAGAAGCCGATCGCCACCGACTTGGCCGAGACCATCAAGGCGAGAGATTTAGCCGAGATTAGCCGAGATTAGCCGATCGCCACCGACTTGGCCGAGACCATCAAGGCGGTCGGATTAGCATCGAGTAAGTAGTCGGCTCCTGTTGATTCGGCACGACTGATTCGGTACGATCGCCCCCCCTCTTCGTCTTTCAACTCCTCGGCTGCCGTCCCTCCTTCCCTCCTCGGCTCGGGAGTCTCAGCCTTTCCAAGGAGTGTGAGTCTTGTGACTCTTGGGACTCTTGTGACACCCGGCGGTCAACCTCCTCTGCCACATCCCCCCATCTCCCCATCTCTCCCCATCTCTCCCCATCTCTCCCATATCTCCCCACCTCTCAGGCGGTCAACCTCTGCCGCGCCAAGGGCGTGAAGCTGATGACGGCGCTGCAGCGGCGGTTCGACCCGAACTTCTCCCGCGTCAAGCGCTCGATCGCCGAGGTGCAAGACTAGTACGAAGGGGTGGTACTAAGTAGTGGCACTCACACCTTCTCCCGCCGGGGGAAGCGCTCGGTCGCCGAGGTGCGAGGAGGGGGAGGGGAGGGGAGGGGAGAGGGGAGAGGAGAGGAGGAGGAGGGCGGAGGAGGAGGAAGGGAGAGGGTAGGCGAGAGGAGGGCGGAGGAGGAGGAAGGGAGAGGGTAGAGGAGAGGAGGGCGGAGGAGGAGGAAGGGAGAGGGTAGAGGAGAGGCGGGCGGAGGAGGAGGAAGGGAGAGGGTAGGCGAGAGGAGGGCGGAGGAGGAGGAAGGGAGAGGGTAGAGGAGAGGCGGGCGGAGGAGGAGGAAGGGAGAGGGTAGGCGAGAGGAGGGCGGAGGAGGAGGAAGGGAGAGGGTAGGCGAGAGGAGAGGCGGGGGGCGCCCGTTCTCCGCGCGCCAGCCACAGCGCCTCGTCTCGTCGCATCGCTCAAGGGCGCAGCGTCACGGCGGTGGGCGGTGGGCGATGCGCGGCTGCAGAGGCCACACTGCAGGGGGTGAGAGGGAGGCGGGAGAGCGAGACGACGGTGCTTATCATCCTCGTTGCTGGTCTTGCTGTTCTTATGCCCCCTCCTGCTGCTAGGGCACCATCGGCGAGACGATCGTGGTGAAGCTCTGCTCGCGCGACCCCATATCTCCCCCATATCTCCTTCATATCTCCCCCATATCTCGCAAGGTGAAGCTCTGCTCGCGCGACCCCGCGCCGCCGCCGCTCAAGTACGTGCAGGGCGGCGGCGGCATCTTCAAGGACATGGCGATCCACGACCTCGAGCTGGCCCGCTGCCCGCGTGTCTTCTGTTTGTCGGCACTGTGTTTCTCTTTTTCCCAGGCGATCCACGACCTCGACATGGCCCGCTTCCTGATGGCGTCGGAGCCCGTCGCCGTCCTCGCCTCGGGGTCGTGCCAGGCGTGGCGGGCCTAGACACCTCCTAGACACTTCCTAGACACTTCCTGCCTCGGGGTCGTGCCAGGCGTGACGGGCCTAGACACTTCCTAGACACTTCCTAGACACTTCCTAGACACCTCCTAGACATTTCCTGCCTCGGGGGCGTGCTAGGCGGCGGCACCACACGCACTTGCAGGACACACGCTTGCGGGACATGCGTGCGGGACAACGGCGGCACTTTCGCGGTGCAGACACACGCACTTGCACTTGCGGTGCACAGGCGCACACTTGCGGTGCACAGGCGCACACTTGTTGTGGTGCACACGGCACACTTGCGGTGCACACACCGCACTTGCACAGCTGCGGGGCGCTTGCGAGACGGTTCCGACGCCTCGAGACGTGCGCCCGCTCGAGGGCCGGTATCTCCCCCCAATCTCCCCCAGGTCTCGCCCGAGATCAGCGCGCTCGAAGGGCCCGAGGCGTCCCGACACGGCCGACGGCACTGGCTACTCAGGAGCGCCCGCCAACTCTGCCGCATGACTCTGACAGGCGTTCGACACGGCCAACGTCATGGTTCGCTTCGCAAACGGCAAGGACGCGATCATCGACGTGTGCCGCCAGGCGCCGCACCGCACCGCCCACGGGGGCTGAACCCACGCTGGGTTCGAGACTCTGGAGGTATGGGACCAGGCGCCGTACGGGTACGACCAGCGCGCCGAGGTGCTCGGCACAAAGGGCATGATGATGACCGACAACATGCACCCCTCCACCGCTCGCATCCTCTCGGACAAGTTTTGCGGCGCCCTCGCCGCCAGGCGGCGCGCCTCCGCCCCAGTCCTCCACTGCCCGTGAGCCAATCGTGGGTCGTGACAGGCCACGCCGACATGCCGTACGACTTCTTCATGTCGCGCTACAAGGAGGCGTACAAGCAGGAGACGCTCGCCTTCGTGCGGGCGCTGCGGCGGGACGAGCCAGCGCCGTGCTCCGGCCGCGACGGGCTGGTGGCGCTGATCATGGCCATCGGGGCGGGCATCTCTGCAGAGGAAGGGCGGTGGGTCCGGTTCGAGGAGGTGAGATCTCCCCCATATCTCCCCACGCCTCCCCACACCTCCCCACACCTCCCCGTTCTCCCCATCTCCCCACACCTCCCCACACCTCCCCACACCTCCCGGTATCTCCCCATATCTCCCGTCGCTGACCGCGCGGTGCCCGCCCCTGCGCCAGGTGCTGCAGCGCGAGGGCATCGGAGGCATGAGGGTGTCGGAGGAGGGGGGCGAGACGGCAGGCGGCGGCGCCGGCTGGATCAGCACCATGCTCGGATCGGTCACGCCGTCGGCGAGATCTAGCCGAGATCTAGCCGAGATCTAGTCGAGATCTAGCCGAGATCTAGCCGAGATCTAGCACCATGCTCAGATCTGTCATGCCGCCGGCGAGATATAGCCGAGATACAGCCGAGTAGGCGACGGCCGGCAAGGAGGACGCCTACAAAAGAAGTGGCGCCGCCTTTCTTTTTCTAGGCGAACCCGCGCAAGGAGGACGACCTGCGCGAGATCTTCCTGCTCTTCGACACGGACGACGACGACTTGCTCACCGAGAAGGAGGTTGGCGAGGCGACCAAGCTGCTGTGCAAGGACGGCGCGTGCCCCATCTACACCGCGGAGGAGGTGCACAGCATGGTGCGGGGCGTCGACTCGGACCGCGACGGGCGGATCACCTTCGACGAGTTCCTCGCGCTGTGGCGCAGGGCCGGCAACATCGAGGGCGCCGCCGAGGAGGCGAACCCGTTCGCCAAGCTGCTCGCGCCGCTCCTGAAGTGATGATTCTGGCGGGGCCGGAAAGGGAGGAAGCGATGCGGGACAGTGAGTGTGTGGTGCGGTTGTGCGTGTTTGTGAGAGGATGAAAAGAACGGTAGTACCCAGTGCACTTGGAGCACTTGGAGTGCGGTCATTAACCTCACGTCCAGGACCGGGGAGCTAAGAAGCGCACCCAGTTGGCCGGACGCTCGGTGTCGGGTTACGGGCAAGATAGCCCTAGCCCCGGGGGTGCGCGTTCGCAGGGCCATAACACGGGTCTCCGAGGGTTGGCTCCGTGTACCGGGTTTCCCCTTAACTAACAGTGTATTACTTTTTGATTGATCAATCCCATCCCCCGTCCACCTGTACCCCGCCTTTGCCACCAGGCAAGCCATGGCACTTCCCTCGTCCGCTCGCGCTTGCCGCGCCGCATTGCGCCCGACTATGCCGCCGCGAGCTGCACACCTAGACCCCCGCGACGCCTATTGCTCACGGAACCCGCCGCCCCCTCACCACCCCTACCTTGCGTTGCGCATCGCCACACGAGCGGCTGTACCCCCTCGGCCTCGCACCGCCTGCCTACTCCCGCTCGCAGGTACAGCCGCTGCCATCGAGGAAGCCGCGAGACGCGTCCGCTGCTGCCCATTCCCCACCCTTGTCCCGCGCGACCGCCCTCCCTCTCTTCTGGCAAGAGAGCGACCCGCTCTCGCTTGCTCGCCAATCGCCGCCCGGCTCCAGTCCGAGCGCCGAGGACGCGAGAGAGCGTGCCGGCGGCCTCGTCTCGACGCTCACGCCGCGACGTGCTGCCCGTAGGCGCGGCTCTCCTCTCTCCGGCTCGCTCTCTCTTCCCATTCAGCATGCCCGTGCAACTTTCTGGCTGTAAAGCGCCCGCCATGTGCTCACGCTGTTGCGCCGTCGACGTCGCCGAACCCTCGCCTCCAACCCCTATCACATCAACACTTCCCGCGGACCTGCTCGCGCGCATCGTCTCCCTCTGTGACAGTCCGCTGGACATCGTGCGCACCTCAGCCGTCTCGCACCTCTTCCGTGACTCAGTCACTGAGGATGGCATTCGCTTGCGCGCCCAAGAGCGTGGATACGAGGCGCTGGCGCCGGCGGAGGGTGAGAGGTGCCGTAGTAGTGGTAGCAGTATGCAACTCATCGAAATGAAGCGACGCCGCAACCAACGCGAAGCTCCCAAAATACCTGGGGCGGGTTATCGGCTCAAAGTCTTGAGATGCTGACAGGTGCCCTCTACAGCGGCTCTGCTTGTTTGCGATGCTGCGTGAGTCAAACCAACGGGTGAGGCTGGGCGCCGGCAACTCACACAGCGTATTCATCGACAACGAGGGACGGCTCTTGACATGCGGCAAGGCCAAGCCCTGGCAACCAGCACTCCTCGGGCACCCGAGGCCAGCCCCTCACGAGAGTGTGATACAGATAATGATCCCGACCCGAGTGCCTTCCCTGCTCGGCGGTGAGCGGGCGGTGACTTTGGCGGTGGGAGCGAAGCACAGCATCGCAATCACTACGAGCGGCGCCCTGTGGAGCTGGGGCGACGGAAAGCTTGGGACCATTGGCCACGACGAGTACACGGACTCCATGGAGCCCACAAAGATCGCGGGCTTTGCGGGGCGGCGAGTCGTCGCTGCATCGGCAGGCGACGCTCACAACCTCGCTATCACCGCCGACGCCTCTGCCTGGAGTTGGGGACGTGGCTACTCTGGGCGCTTGGGTCATGGCGGCGGAGAGGATCAGCTTCGACCCAAGAGGATCGAAGCTCTGGTAGCACAGCGCATCATCGCGGTGGCAGCAGGAGGCGACCACTGCCTCGCCGTCACGGCGGACGGCAAGGTTTATAGCTGGGGTCGCGGGGAGTGTGGGCAGCTGGGCCACGGCAAGAGGTCGAGCGAGCGAATTCCCGACACCGAGCCGCTGCCAAGGCGGATCATGTCCCTGCGCAAGCAGCGCGTCATCGCGGTCGCGGCAGGCGGCCTTCATAGCCTCGCCGTCACCGCCGACGGCCTAGTCTGGAGCTGGGGCGCAGCGGGTGAGGGCAAGTTGGGCCACGGAACTGAGGACAATCAGATGCGACCGAAGAAGATAAAGGAGCTGACAGGGCAACGCATCGTCGCTGTGGCGGCGGGGCACTACCATTCCTTCGCACTCTCCGCGGATGGCATCCTTTGGGGCTGGGGCCGTGGGTATGGCGGCCAACTGGGACACGGCGACTTGGTCATCCCGAGAAACGGCCTCAAGCTTCCGCGGAGGGTCGAGGCATTTGCGGGGCGGCGCGTGGTCGCTGTGACGGCAGCAGGCAACCACAGCCTCGCACAAACCTCAGACGGTGCCTTCTGGGGGTGGGGCGAGGGGGACAACTTTGCCGTAGGCCAGGGGGAGGACACGTCTAATATCGACACGCCTAGGCGGATCGAGATAGTGTAACGAGTAGTGTGTAGGACGCAAGAGACGCTGAACAATAAAACAAAGCGCTCCGATAAACTCCGAAGCGAGATGGTTGTACGGCTTTAGGATCCCCCCGCGCCCTGCACGATCTTCCCCATCGGAGGCCCGCGTCTCTACTGGGGCAGTGGCAGCAGGCCCCTCGCGCCACGTGTACGTGCGAATCTCATGTGAACGAACAGACAGTCATCTCGAGCGCGACCCTGCAGTGCTCGTACCGTCAGCTGCCGATCCGCACGCACACACCCCAGGAGGCGCCACCTCCACCGTCACGACGCAGGTCCGACCACCGCCACTGTCGCTATCAGCAATTCTATCAGCAATTCTTAGTGGCGATGCGCCAATCGGATCGGTGTCGGTGTCTCCGGCACCCACGAGCTGAACTGAGCGACGGCGCGGCGACTGCGGTGGTGTTGAACACGGCGTCGGGACACACCCAGTAGATGGCGCCTCACGAGTGTCATCTTCGCTGATCCGCATCTTCAGCGTGGCTGCACACGGGTCTGAGGCTCGGCTGAAGTCTACCCTCCAATTGCTTTGGGTGTCCTGGAGCGGCCGCACACTGCTCGGTACCCCCCCTGCACATCTAAAGTCATGGCCGACCCCCCCCCCAGCAGCAGCGCTCTGCTGCTGGGGGGGTCGGGACCCCCCCCCCAGCAGCAGCGCTCTGCTGCTAGGGGGTGCTGGCATCTCTGTACCGACAGCTGTAAGTAAGTACGGTTAGCGTTCCAGTCGTCGGCGAGGTGCTGGATATTAAATGGCTTGAGGGCGAGCCGCATGGCTTCCACCACGTCGCTGCCCGCCATTGCGGCGACGCGTCGCGGCGGACCTGACAGTTTTGCCGCGCGACGGGCCGCGCGCGCGTTTCGAAAAAAGAAAAGTCGTTAAGCTCAGTCGATCGATTTCGACGAGCGAGCGATCCGAGGATCGAGCGGGGGACCGATAGGCTAGAGAGATCAACGCTGATCGATCATCGTCAGCCGAGACGCCCGAGTGAGTGGCTCACTATACGGTTTTTAGTGTGGTAGTACAAGATAGACTCACATGGTCACAAGTCTTTAGTAATACGCCAGCACTCGGAGACCCACTCGACACGACGAAGGTGTATTGGGCTCGAAGGCGCGGTGAACACAGCCGCCTCGAGCGTACCGCTAAAACACGAGTCGAGGTGGGAGGGGGCGGCGGCGGCGAAGAGGCGGGAGCCGGGAGAGCTGGGTCCAATATGCCCTCTGCTGCTGGGGGGGTCGGGACCCCCCCCCCAGCAGCAGCGCTCTGCTGCTGGGGGGGTCGGGACCCCCCCCCCAGCAGCAGCGCTCTGCTGCTGGGGGGGTCAGACCCCCCCCCTAGCAGCAGGGATGACTTTAGATGTGCAGGGGGGGTACCGAGCAATGTGCGGCCGCTCCTGCACTTGCGCCGCGGGCTTGACGTGTGGCTTGGAACTGACACAGCCCATGGTACCGTAGTCGTTTCTCGCGATCCGGTGATTGGCAGAGCAGAGGCTAGCCGGGGCAGTCGGAGAAGGGGCAACTCCGTGCACTGACGGTCGGCCGTCAGAAAACACACCTGCGTGGATCGCGTCACACCAATCCTCGCTACCCAACGCGGCCAAAGGATATTCCACCTTGAGAACCTCGAGAACATGTTGCACGCCCCGATCTACCTATGGCGCTGTGCGCTGGTATGTGAGAGGAGTTGAGGTGCGAGCCCTGGAGGCCCTGGGGATGGGGGGAGACTACCCGAAGGGCCTAGATAACACGCACGGTACAAGGTTCGATCCGTCGAAGCGATCGATACACAAACACAAAAGAGAGACACTCGCGGCAGTGGGAGCTGGGCGGGGCTGCAGCAGCTTAGCGGCGTCGGTGCGGCCGTACTCTGAGCGAGCGTAGGCGGTGGCCGCCTCTTCGGCGGTGTCGAAGTAGCCGAGGCGGACACGCTTGCCGCCATTAGGCACATGTACCTGGAACTTCTTATTGCTGCGGTTGAAGGTCACGTTCTTGCAGCCAGTCGTGCTCCTCTTGCTGATGGCTAGGATCAACACGAGGCGCTCGGACGCTGTGTCCCGCGAGTTCGCGCGAGCGGGCGCCATCAAGCTCTTGGGGAAAAAGAAATCCTGCGCCCCACGCTCGCAAGGCGGCGGTGGACTGGCGCACACGCTGAAGAGAAGGTCACCAGCAGCGAATGCTCACACCCTATGGTCGCACCCCGAACACACGCGTCCCACAGCAGGGGTGTATAGTGCGGAGTGCTCTAGCGTAGCATCCGCGACGTCGACTTCGACACGAAGCCTCGGCAGCCAGGGCAGGCCGTGTTGATCGGCTCCATCCCGCGGCTCGTCTCGACCTCGCTGTCGTCGTTGAGCCAAGTGTGCAGGCAGTGGTAGTGGAAGAGGTTCTTGCAGCAGTGCGTGGCGCCCCAGCCGTTCGGGTCGCGCGGCTGCAGGCGCGCCTCGAGGTGCGAGCTGAGGTCGTCGAAGCAAATAGCGCACTGAAGGGCCTGCTCGGCTGCTGCCGAAGCTGACGCCGCCCTTGCTGCGGCGCCGGCCTCCACCTCCATCTCCGACTCCTCCTCGCTATCGCTCCCCTGCTCCGCCTCCACCTCCACCTCGTCGTCGCATGGCGGGGCAGCACCCGCCGCCGCCGCAGCCTCCGCCCTCGCCTGTTCTGCTGCGCGCGCCTGCCGCCTCGCCGCCCTCTGCTCGCTCGCGGAAGGCGGCGGGTCGGAGAGCAGCGAGTTAGCCACGGCGTCGGCAATGTCCGCCGGGTCGAAGCCGTCCTCCTCCTCATAGCTGCTGGCCTCGGACGGCCCTGCTCGCTGCTGCGCCTTGCGGCGGTGCTTGCTGCGAAGGCGGCTCGAGCAGGCGGATGGTCGTGTCCCACAGGTGCCGCGCGCGCGCCAGCGCCGCCTCCTCGGCGGTGGCGAAGCGGCCGAGGTGAAGCCGCTTGCCGCCAACCATCATCTGCAGCTCGTACTTCTTGCTGCCTCGCTCCTTCGGGTAGTAGGTCACGCCTTTGTAGCCGCTGTTGTTGCTGCTCGTAGCCAGAGTCAGGCCCTCCCTCCCCGCCTGCCGTATCGCCTCGGCACCAGCAGCAGAGGAAGGCGCGGGCGGCGGCGGCGGCGGCGGCGGCGCGGTGAGATCGCTGGTGTCCCTGCCCGCCTCCCTGCGGGCGTAGAAGAGCGCCGCCGCTCGGCGGTGGCGAACATGCCGAGGGTGACCAGCTTGCCGCCAACCTTCACCGCTAGCTTGTACTTCTTGCTGCCTTGCCGCTTCGGGTAGAAGGAGACGCCTTTGTAGCCGCTGTTGCTGCCGCTACTGGTGGCCAGCGTAAGGCCCTCCCTCTCCGCCTGCCGTATCGAATCGGCGCCAGCGGCAGAGGTGGGCGGCGGCAGAGGCGGCGGTGGCGGCGGCGGCGGGTAGAGCGCAACCATATCCCTGCCCGCCTCCCTGCGGGCGTAGAAGAGCGCCGCCTCCTAGGCGGTGGCAAAGAGGCCGAGGGTGACGTTCCTGCTGCCATCCCACACGTCCAGCTTGAACTTCTTGCTGCCTTGCCGCTTCGGGCAGAAGGTCACGCCTTTGTAGCCGCTGTTGCTGCTGCCGCTGGCCAGAGTCAGGCCCTCCCTCTCCGCCTGCCGTATCGCCTCGGCGCCAGCGGCAGTGGGAGCCGGGCGAGGCTGCAGCAGCTTGGCGGCGTCGGCGCGGCCGTACTCTGAGCGAGCGTAGGCGGTGGCCGCCTCTTCGGCGGTGGCGAAGAAGCCGAGGAAGACACGCTTGCCGCCATCCCACGCCTGCACCTCGTACTTCCTTTTGCTGCGCTTGTAGGCCACGTTCTTGTAGCCAGTCGTGCTCCTCTAGGATCAACACGAGGCGCTCGGACGCTGAGTCCCGCGAGTTCGCGCGAGCGGGCGCCATCAACAAAAGAAATCCCCGGCCCTCCACCCCCGGGGTCAACGAAAAGAACTCCCTCTCACAGCACAACAAAAGAATTTTACCAGCCGATTTTACCAGAATTTTACAGAAGTCCCTCGCACGACACTGGGACGGGACTGGCGCGCACTGGCACTAACACAGGTACAAAAGACTTCGTCCACCTCGCGAGTTCGCGCCAGTGGTCACCGAAAGAAAAGACGGATGCGCACCTCGAATTAGCCGCTGCTTCCGCAGTACCTTCCCGCGGGCTGAAGGATGGGGTACGGGTTGGCGAGGAGGAGCTTGCGGGCGAGCCAGCCAGGCGGCGTCGCCAGCACAGCAAGCTCGTCCTCGGCGCAAGCTCGCCGCGCCGCCCACCGGACGAACCAGTCGCCGGCGGCGCACGTGTCGACGGCCGAGCAGTCGCGCGCGCCATCGGCCTCGCGCAGGCGGACGCGGGTCCCGCATCCTGACGCGCGCCACTCCTCGGCGGCGGCGTGGTCGTCGAGTGGCGGCGCGCCGGCGATGCGCGTGTACTCGAGCTCGAAGCTCTCGTTGCGCTCTCTCATCGCCTCGAGCACCATCCGCACCTCGAGCGTCGGCAGCGTGTACCGCGTAAACGGCCGGCCGTGGGCGCCGTTGGACCGTTGCACCATGATGTAGCCGATTCCGAGGCCGGTGAGCCCGCCGCCCACGCCCATGTTCTTGCCGCGCAGGTTGCGAGCGCGCGCGCCCTGGTGCGTGAATAGCCTCGCCTCGTGGCCAACCGAGTGCAGCGTGCGGCGCACGAGCGGCTCCGGCTCGAACTCGAGCGTCTCACCCGGGTAGATGGCGTTGAGGAAGCGAGAGGTCGAGCGCTCGACGCGCACTACGCCGCCCGCCAGGTCGCGCAGCGGGCCGAGCGCGCCGTCGGCCGGGCTGCGATGCGCCAGCCAGCGCTGGAGGAGTCCGGTTGGGAGGAAGGCGTGGCTGGAGCCGCCGTGCTGCTTGATGTGCGAGAACATCGTGCAGCCACCCACGTCGATCAGCCCGAGCATGGGCATGCCGAACGCGTAGAAGGCCGCGCAGCCGATCAGCGCCCACGCGAGTGTGCGTCGGGCACGCGGCGGCAGCGGCGGCAGCGGCGGCGGCGCCGGCAGCACCGGCGGCGCCGCCCTTGCCTTGTCGGAAGTGGGAGGCGGCGCGTCGTCATCGAGGACGAGGGTGCGGAGCGTGAGCGCCGCGAGCGCGCTGTAGGCGAGGTTGGCGACGACGCGCTCGCATGAGCCGTGCACCGCGCACACGGTCGCCGTCACGCCCACGACGAGCGCCGCGCCGACGGCGACGCCGCGCGACGCCTCGCCGCCGTGCAAGCTCAAAGCTTCCTCCACCTCTGCCACGGCGCGCACGCTCGCGTGCGGAGTGACCCAGAAGAGGCGCGAGGCGGACAGGGCGCCAAAGTCTGCGATCGAGAGGGGAAGCGGCGCGGCCATGATCCCCAGGTGCAGCGCGAGCGCGAGCGCCACGCCGAGGCGCCACGCCGTCCGCGATGGGCTGAGCAGCAGAATCGGAATGCCGCACTCGACGATGAGCGTAATGTGCGGTGCGGTGGTGGCGACGAGCGAGACGAGCGACGCGGCGAGGAGCGGCTCGGGCAGCCAGCCGCAGAGAATCTGCACAAGCATGAGCGACGAGCACGACAGCCGCGGATCCGAGTGGTCCACATTCGCCTTCCAAAGCCCGCTCGCCGCGTAAAATATTGCCATCTGGATGCGAATCACGCGCGAGATGAAGGCGGTGTCGCCGCTCACGAGGAGGAGCGCGAGAATGACGGCCGCGTCCGTGTTCATCGCCCACCAGTCCATGTCGACGACCGCAGGCAGATGCCATGCGATGGTGCACCAGTTCATCACGGCGGAGCCGATGAGCGTGGCCTTTGATGGCCGCACGAGAGCGGCGAGGACGAAGGGCGCCTGTAGCGCAATGAAAAGCGTCGGCTCCGGTGGCGACGTGAAGCGGCACAGCTGGTAGAAGGCGTGCACGCGCGCGTAGGCACGCCACGGGCAGGGCGTCGGCATCAAGGCATAAGGAGTCGAGCGGCGCTGAAAAATAAAAAGCTCCCGCTCAGTCTCGAAGGACCGCGCACCCAAGCCCCGAGGCCTTGCTGCGAGGGCAGATATTCTCCCCGGAAGGCCTCCAGCCGCCACCTCGGGTGGGGGGGCAGTGACGGTGCCGCGTAGGGGAGGCAGCACCGTGCGAGCCCCGCAGAGGTGCGGGCGAGAGGGCGGCCCGAGCCCGAAAGGGCCCGCCCTCGACCTCGCTCTACATGGTAACGGATAAGAAGAGAAACACCCCCGGACTGGGACGCCGGCAGTCGAGTCGGGACACGCTGTGGTTCAGACGTCCCCCCCCTCGACGTAGTCGAGTCACTCACATGAATAGGGAGGAGAAAGTGTCCCCCACATATCACCACAGATGCAGCACAGGGGCTCCAATCCTGTCCCAGCCTGGGGGGCCTCGCTAGATCTCCAGTGGGGAGTGCGAGGGCTGGATCGACTGCAGCGAGAGTGTGCGGGTTGTGGACCGTCGGGATAGCGTGTGGCGTAGATGTTCTCCTGGAAGTAGAGAGGCTGATGTCTCTCGCCCTGCAGGAAGGAGAAACTCGGACGTTGGAGTGAAAACTCCTCCCTGCGGCGTGTGCGCAGAACGGTTGCGCATGTGCGGCATCATGTTGAGGACTCGGGAGGGCAGCGACGGCGGCGTTGCCGAGCATGTACAGGGGCCTCAATCCTGTCCCCGATGGGGTGCGCCTCTCGCCGCGCGCGTAGCAGTCGGCGCGCGGGAAGCCTCAGAGATGCGCTGAGCGAGAAGCGGGTATCCGCCGTACTCGAGGGAGCCCTGTAGGAAGGCGGCGACGAGGTCGCGGCGCCGCATGCGTAGTCCGCGACGGGCGGCGAGATCGCCTTCATGTACCAACCAGCTGGACATGTCCATGCCTTCGATGAGCACGGCAAGCCCAAGATCTGCGTCCTCCTCAAGCCACTGTACGGCATGAAGCAGGCTGGCCGGCGCTTCCAGCGCGACTTCTACTACTGGCTCACGCTTCCCCGCGCCGAGGGCGGCGCCGGCCTCATCCAGTCCACGGCTGACCTGAGCGTTTTCTACTACCGCACAGAGCATGACGAGTTCCTGCTCGGGGTCTACGTCGATGACCTGATCATGTTTTATCCACCCGACGCCGCCGACGACGACGGCGTGCCCGCTACCACGTGCGAGCCCCGCAGAGGTGCGGGCGAGAGGGCGGCCCGAGCCCGAAAGGGCCCGCCCTCGACCTCGCTCTACATGGTAACGGATAAGAAGAGAAACACCCCCGGACTGGGACGCCGGCAGTCGAGTCGGGACACGCTGTGGTTCAGACGAGCACGAGTCCCCCCCTCCGACGAGTAGCGCACAGCTGGACTCGGCTAGGGCCTACGGGCGTCGACCATGATGAAGCCGTCACTCCGCAGCCGCAGCTGCTGCTTTGCCCGCCGTCCGCCTCCGCCAGGCCACCCCTGCACGTGTGGGCAGGCGGCGGCAACGCCTATCGCCCGAGGGGAGGGGCTGAGAAACGAACGACGCATCGACCGAGAAGTCGCGCCGAGTGGCGTTATTGCGGCCGATAGCACCTACTCGGGCATAGACCGGTCCCCTTCCGAGCGATGAGTCGCAGTATCGGCTCTGAGACGAGGGTTTGGGCTCCGCGATGGGCAGCGGCGACTAGAGCCTTGCCCAAGTTGGACCACTTTCTCTAGCTGCCAAGCTGCGCACCATTTCGCGCGTGGAGTTTTGCCGAACTATGGTGTGCATAGGCTGCTGGTGTGGGGCGACCGGGTCTCACAGTGGGGCATCTCGACAGGAGATGAGTGGAGATGCCCAACGGCGCTCGGCGCGAGTCGGGGTGCATCGGCTGCCGGCGTGCGTGTACGATCGAGGATGACGCTACGAGGGTCGCCCCCCCTGGCTGACAGCCCTGACGCCCTTCACTTCGCCGAAGCCGGGAGTGGCATATGCGCTGCGTCACGCTCACGAACAGCCGTGCGCAAGTGGCGATGAGCGAGGCCTATGAGTGCAACGCGCTGACGCGGAGCTGAAGTTGAACGATTTTTAGCAAAACGCGCCCAAACCCTTGGGGACACCTCTCGGGTGGGCTCGGGTGCACCCGGCGAGCGAAAGCGCGGAGGGTAGCCGCGGAGGTGATGGCGTCACTTTGAATGCCGTGGGGCTCCTGCCCGTGTCCAGGCGTGGAGATGCGAGGGTCGCCCCCCCTTGCCCCACCACTTTGTGTGTGTGGAGACGTTTACCTTACCTTACCTAAGCACAACCCCACACCAACCAGCGCTACCCCCGCCCTAGCGCTACCAAGGGGGGTTAGCGAGATTGAGCACCAGCACCACTCCAGCCTCTCGGTCTCGACTACGTGTGGACGCGTGCGGCATCCCCCCAGAGCATGTGTGTTGTTTCTGTGCTCCTTTGTAGTACATTAACACGACTCACACACCCGGGAGCTCTCCACGCTCCACACCGCCCGGCTTACTTGAAGCGTTCCTCTTGCCTACGCTTCTCGCGGCGCTCGCGGCGCTCGACGCGGTACTCCCCTCGATTAGCGCGGGCATGGAGTTGGACCGATCCGTCTGTGGCGAGGTGGGTCGGTCCCCCGATTTCCTCAATCCACGGTCCTTCGCTCCTTCCCCGCCGTACCTTACCGCAGGAGGTCATGAGGGTCGATGGGAGTGCCAACCCGCCCACAATGCCTAAAAACCCAGCCCAGTAGGCTATAAAGCCGTATGTGTTGTGTAGAAGACCAAGTACCTAGAAGACCAAGTCCCCGCTTCGGCCATCCAGTCGTGAGGCCAGTCGTACCTAGAAGACCTGTACTCAGCTCTCAGCCACTGCTTCGACATGTGTCGTCGAGCACTACCATCTACGGCAACCCGACCCTGGGCGACCGCCGCTCGCTACATACCTTACGGCATTCTGACATGTCATTCCACAACCACACACGTCATCAGACGCGCAAAGTCCTGACAGTCGCGACGTCGCTCTCTGTGACCACGTCCGCCTGCACGGCAGCCGCGGCGCGGGCGCACGACGCGCCTCGACTGGGCGCCTTCGGGCCGCTGCCTTCCGCAGCTGCCGTCAGCTCCGTCTCGCCCCGCCCCGCCGCCTCCTCCTGCTGCCGCAGCGCGCCTCCGGCGCTCTGCTCGGTGCGTCGCGCCCGCAGAGGGCCTCCCACGCCCTCGCTGCTCGAGCGCGCGCAGAGCAGCAGCAAGCGACCTGGAGACGCTCGAGAGGTGACCCGAATTGACCCGAGGTGACCCGAGGTCACCCGAGGTGACCCGAGGTGACCCGAGGTGACCCGAGGTGACCCGAGATGACCCGAGATGACCCGAGGTGACCCGAGGTGACCCGAGGTGACCCGAGGTGACCCGAGGTGACCCGAGGTGAGCCGAAGTGAGCCGAAGTGAGCCGAGGGGAGCCGAGGGGGGCCGAGGGGGGCCGAGGGGAGCCGAGGGGAGCCGAGGGGGGCCGAGGGGAGCCGAGGGGAGCCGCAAGGAGCTGCAGGCGACCTGCGAGGGCAAGCGAGAGCGCATGCAACGCCGCCATGATCGCGGCGAACGACTGCAGCGCGCCGAGAGCCGCCCCCGCCGTCGTCAGCTCTGCCGCCCCCGCTGCCGATGCCGCGAAGACCGCTTCCGACCTCTCTGCAGGCGTCTCTGCCGGTGCCTCCGTCGAAGGGGCGTCGGACAACGCCGCCGCGTGGACATCCATCAGCAGGCCCATCAGCGCGGCGGAGAGGGCCTGGGCGGCGGGCAGTGAGATTCGCCGAGATTCGCCGAGATTCGCCGAGATTCGCCGAGATTCGCCTGGGCGGCGGGCAGCGCGATGAGCATCGTCGGGAGCGCCTCTGCACGGCGCAGCAGATCGAGCGTCAGCGGCGCCCACGACGTCACCTAGTCTCGGCGAATCTCGGCGAATCTTGGCGAATCTCGGCGAATCTCGGCGGACAGCGGCGCCGAGGACGTCACCGCCGCCGCGAAGCAGCCGAAGAGGCAGGAGATGAGCAGCGGCGGCAGCCACAGCCCACCGATGCGCGTGGCTTGTTGCGCGACCAGCAGCGCGTGCACCGCCAGCTGCGCCAGCTGGAGGCCAGTGAGGAAGCGGCGCGGCCCGACGCGGTCGTAGAGCGCCCCCGAGAGAGGGCGTGCCACCTGCAGAGAAGGGTCCGAGAAGGGTCCGAAAAGGGTCCGAGAAGGGTCCGAGAAAGGTCCTACCTTGCTCCTTCAAGGCTCCGAGACGGCTGCATCTCGCCACGATCTGCAAGGAATCTGAGCGAATCTCGGCTGCATCTCGGCTGCATCTCGGCTGCATCTCACCATGATCACTGACGTGCAAAAGATCGACACCGCCGCCACCACCGACGCCGGCGCACGCGCCTCCGCCTCCGCCTCCGCCTCCGCCGTCCCCGCCGTCGCATTCAGCGTGTGCGCCGCAGCGGCGCCGTCGGCGGGCGCGAGGAGAGCCTACCCCTCGTCCGAATCTCCGCTCAATCTCGACCCAATCTCTCGGCTCGCTCTCCACTTGCGCGAGGGAGGAGGGCCTCGAGCCAGGCCTGCAGCACGGTAAAGACGCCTCAGGAAGAGTTCATCGATGGAGAGTCAGTGACGAGTCACTCAATCGAGCCGGGCCTGCAGCACGGTAAAGACGCCTCAGGAAGAGTTCATCGATGGAGAGTCAGTGACGAGTCACTCAATCGAGCCGGGCCTGCAGCACGGTAAAGACGCCTCAGGAAGAGTTCATCGATGGAGAGTCAGTGACGAGTCACTCAATCGAGCCGGGCCTGCAGCACGGTAAAGACGCCTCAGGAAGAGTTCATCGATGGAGAGTCAGTGACGAGTCACTCAATCGAGCCGGGCCTGCAGCACGGTAAAGACGCCTCAGGAAGAGTTCATCGATGGAGAGTCAGTGACGAGTCACTCAATCGAGCCGGGCCTGCAGCACGGTAAAGACGCCTCAGGAAGAGTTCATCGATGGAGAGTCAGTGACGAGTCACTCAATCGAGCCGGGCCTGCAGCACGGTAAAGACGCCTCAGGAAGAGTTCATCGATGGAGAGTCAGTGACGAGTCACTCAATCGAGCCGGGCCTGCAGCACGGTAAAGACGCCTCAGGAAGAGTTCATCGATGGAGAGTCAGTGACGAGTCACTCAATCGAGCCGGGCCTGCAGCACGGTAAAGACGCCTCAGGAAGAGTTCATCGATGGAGAGTCAGTGACGAGTCACTCAATCGAGCCGGGCCTGCAGCACGGTAAAGACGCCTCAGGAAGAGTTCATCGATGGAGAGTCAGTGACGAGTCACTCAATCGAGCCGGGCCTGCAGCACGGTAAAGACGCCTCAGGAAGAGTTCATCGATGGAGAGTCAGTGACGAGTCACTCAATCGAGCCGGGCCTGCAGGACGGTAAAGACGCCTCAGGAAGAGTTCATCGATGGAGAGTCAGTGACGAGTCACTCAATCGAGCCGGGCCTGCAGCACGGTAAAGACGCCTCAGGAAGAGTTCATCGATGGAGAGTCAGTGACGAGTCACTCAATCGAGCCGGGCCTGCAGCACGGTAAAGACGCCTCAGGAAGAGTTCATCGATGGAGAGTCAGTGACGAGTCACTCAATCGAGCCGGGCCTGCAGCACGGTAAAGACGCCTCAGGAAGAGTTCATCGATGGAGAGTCAGTGACGAGTCACTCAATCGAGCCGGGCCTGCAGCACGGTAAAGACGCCTCAGGAAGAGTTCATCGATGGAGAGTCAGTGACGAGTCACTCAATCGAGCCGGGCCTGCAGCACGGTAAAGACGCCTCAGGAAGAGTTCATCGATGGAGAGTCAGTGACGAGTCACTCAATCGAGCCGGGCCTGCAGCACGGTAAAGACGCCTCAGGAAGAGTTCATCGATGGAGAGTCAGTGACGAGTCACTCAATCGAGCCGGGCCTGCAGCACGGTAAAGACGCCTCAGGAAGAGTTCATCGATGGAGAGTCAGTGACGAGTCACTCAATCGAGCCGGGCCTGCAGCACGGTAAAGACGCCTCAGGAAGAGTTCATCGATGGAGAGTCAGTGACGAGTCACTCAATCGAGCCGGGCCTGCAGCACGGTAAAGACGCCTCAGGAAGAGTTCATCGATGGAGAGTCAGTGACGAGTCACTCAATCGAGCCGGGCCTGCAGCACGGTAAAGACGCCTCAGGAAGAGTTCATCGATGGAGAGTCAGTGACGAGTCACTCAATCGAGCCGGGCCTGCAGCACGGTAAAGACGCCTCAGGAAGAGTTCATCGATGGAGAGTCAGTGACGAGTCACTCAATCGAGCCGGGCCTGCAGCACGGTAAAGACGCCTCAGGAAGAGTTCATCGATGGAGAGTCAGTGACGAGTCACTCAATCGAGCCGGGCCTGCAGCACGGTAAAGACGCCTCAGGAAGAGTTCATCGATGGAGAGTCAGTGACGAGTCACTCAATCGAGCCGGGCCTGCAGCACGGTAAAGACGCCTCAGGAAGAGTTCATCGATGGAGAGTCAGTGACGAGTCACTCAATCGAGCCGGGCCTGCAGCACGGTAAAGACGCCTCAGGAAGAGTTCATCGATGGAGAGTCAGTGACGAGTCACTCAATCGAGCCGGGCCTGCAGCACGGTAAAGACGCCTCAGGAAGAGTTCATCGATGGAGAGTCAGTGACGAGTCACTCAATCGAGCCGGGCCTGCAGCACGGTAAAGACGCCTCAGGAAGAGTTCATCGATGGAGAGTCAGTGACGAGTCACTCAATCGAGCCGGGCCTGCAGCACGGTAAAGACGCCTCAGGAAGAGTTCATCGATGGAGAGTCAGTGACGAGTCACTCAATCGAGCCGGGCCTGCAGCACGGTAAAGACGCCAAACCCCGACGCCATGCCGATCAGGTTGACGCACCACAGCAGCAGCAGCTTTGCGTCGCAGTCCGCAAAGAGGCCGCAGCGGCCGCGCGTCGCGGCGGCGGCGGGAGGGCCTCCCCCTGGCGGCCAGGTCACGAGGGCCCCCCAGCCCCAGCAGCTCCCAATCAGGCCCCCTACAGGGAGGCGGCCTCCCGGAAGGTTCGTGGAAGGTTCCCCCCGCCGGCCCCAGCGTCGCAGTCACCGTACAGCAGCAGCATGGAGGAGGCGGGAAGCGCGCGGGAGAGCGGGGACGCCGCCGCGTTCCACAGAGTAGCGCCCAGGCCTTGGCCGGCGCCTGTCCGGGACATGGCGTGACCCGCAAAGCCAGTGTTGGAGAGGGAGGGAGAAGGGGGGGGGGGAGAGAGAGAGAGAGAGAGAGAGAGAGAGAGAGAGAGAGAGAGAGAGAGAGAGAGAGAGAGAGAGAGAGAGAGAGAGAGAGAGAGAGAGAGAGAGAGAGAGGAGGGAGCGAGAGAGAGGGAGACGAGGGAGCGAGAGGGAGAGGGAGAGGGAGAGAGGGGGAGAGAGAGAGAGACAGAGAGGGAGAGAGGGAGAGAGGGAGGTGCCGAGCAGCCCCGCCACGAGCCCCTTCCGGTCCGCGAACCACGCCAGCGTCGGTGTGAAGATGGACATATAGACGAGGCCAGAGCCGACTCCAGTGGCGACCCCTACAGGAAGGGGCTCCCGGAAGAGTTCGTAGAAGGCTCCTGGAAGGGTCCGTCGCCGCCTCCGGTGGCGTCGCCGAAGCCGAGGAGGAGGAGAGCGTGGGACGGCGCGACCGCGACCGACGCCGCCGTGGTCGCGATGCCGACGCCAAACGAGCCGGTGCCGATGAGGACGAGCGTTTGGGGCGACGCCGACCGCAGCATCGCCTTGCCAAACAGCAGGTTGAAGGCGGCAAAGACCAGCGAGCGCAGCGTCGCACAGTACGGCACGATCGAGTGCGAGAGCATCGGCGCCTGCTCCTCGACAGGAGCGATGAAGCCGCTGGCGCCGTATACGAATATGCCGTAGCCTGTCAGCGTCATCACGCCGGCAGGAAGAATGCGACGCCAGCGCATGCGCTGCTCGCTCTGCGAGGCAGACGCGCGAACGCACATGCCTGCTGGGCGCGCTAACGCACTCTGGGGCGATGGTTGGCCGGGGGATTTCTCGATGGAGTGCGTCGCGGCCAGACGAGGATGATTTTTTTTCGACAAGCACATGCCCAACAGGGTTCCGGCTCCTACCCGGATAGGGGGTCTCTGGGCACTGACTCGCGCCAAAACGCCCTACCTACCTACCTATCCCCAGGCCGCGCAGCGAAGCGAAAAAAGATGAAAATAGGGGGTACCTACCTATTGCAGGGCCCTTTTGGGCCAAACAAGACCAACCTACCTACCTATCTGGGAGGGGCCAGCCAGTGCCGACAGACCCCCTATCCGGGTAGGAGCCGGAACCCAGAGCCGCGAACCTGGGTTCGAATGTCAGGCGGTAGGGTAGGGGCTGAGACCGTTGGGTAGCGAGAACAGGTCAACATCGCCGTCGGCCAGACGGTGGCGTTTGTACGATGGCTGCCGCTGCCTTGGGGGGGCGCAGGTGATCACACGGGGGCCGTCGCTCCACGAGCAGGGCAAGGAGGCTGGAGCAGCGGCTGCGGCGCGTGGCGCCGCCAGGGCTCGGCGCAGGGTCGGACGAGCACCAGGGGCCCGTGGGTGCACGGTCGCATGCACGATCGGGTGGAGCACGCGGGCGCCCCACGGTGCGGCCTCGCCCGAGCGCAGCCACCTGCGGACCTGGCCAGCCTGTTCCTGGCTCGTGCCCAGCCTGTCCCCTTCCGCTGCCGCCGGCCTCGCAGTCCCTCCAGCCATCACGCTGCAGAGCCTGCGTAGACGCCACAGACGCGAATTCTGCAGCCCACAGCCCTGGCAACTGAGGGCGAGGGCCAGCAGTATACGACGACGACGACCGGCCGTGGCGACCGGCTTTCACGCCCAAACGAGCGACGAACTGATGGCCCGCGGCGCCGCCCCAAAGGCGGTGCCGCTCGCGCGCCAGGCCGGGCGGTTCTCACCACAGCCTGTCGGGCGCAGCACCACCACTTCGGGGTAAAGGCGAGGCCGTTCAGGGCCCGGGGCCGTCTGAGACTCGTCTTGAGTTGGAGTTGCCTGAGGAGCACCCTGGGCGAGGTGCGGCGGCGCCGGCGGCGGCACGCTGGCCGCCTCTCCGTCGTCGTTGGGTCGAACAGCGAGGAGCGGGGCGGCCCACGCTGTGGCTCGCCGGCGGCGGCGCCACTGCACAGCCGCGACGAGCAGCCACAGCAGCGTGGGCGGAGCCGAGGCGAGGGTCGAGTAGATGAGGAGAGGGCGGAAGTTGCCCATCGAGAGCGCGAGGCGGACGAGCGGCGCCTAACCCAATCGCACGAGTGGAGTGACTCATTAGGAGTAGGTAGCACGTAGGCGCACGCCAACCAAAGGTCGGACTCTGGGCTGCTTAGAGTTCGTTGCACACTCTAGTCGGGCGGGATCCGCGAGCAGGCGGCCGCGCCTGGCAAAGGTTGACGAGCGACGAGACGAACATGCACAGGCCCATGATGCGCCCCATCGAGCTGGGGCCGAAGGTGGCGCCGTTGAAGGCCGCGAGGGTGGAGAAGAGGAATGCGCGGAAGGCGGCGAAGACGACCGCGCCGCCGACCTGCGCCGCCTGCGAAGGGAGGAGCTGGAGGCACGAGAAGAGGACGCCCAGCGCCGACGTGACGAGGAAGGTGCCGATGAGGCCGGTGAGGTGGATCGAGGCCTCGATGAAGGGCACAGCGATGAAGCCAAACGGCACAATCAGCCCGACGAGCGAGGTTGTCGACTCCAGCGCGCCCTCTGGCCAGCCGTTGCTGCTGGCGTACTCGCGGTTGGTCAGGTCGACCGAGCCGAGGTAGAGGTTCGAGCGCGTCACCTGCACACCGAGACATTGACCTTAGGTTAATATTAGCTGAAGTCATGGGCAAAAGAGTGATGGATTGCAATTGATCCAAGGCACAGCCGAGGCAGCGGTCACCTGCACCGTCGCAAAGAGGCACACCGTCGCAAACTCGAGGCTGCGCACCTGCTGCAGCAATGGCTTCGCCGCGAGCTCTGTGGGCGTGCTCTCGGGTGCAGACGCCTCGCCCGCGTCGGCCAGCGCCGTGTCCAGCGTCGCCGCGTCGTCCCCACGCCCACCCCGAGAGGCCTGGAGCTGCTTTGCGTTGAGCACCCACGCGAGGAGCAAGAGGGAGTAGACCGCGGCGGCGAGGCCGACAAAGCCCCACCAGAGCATGTTGAAGGGGACGCCAGCTTCATAAGCGAGCTTGAAGAAGGTGAAGATTATGCAGCTGCCGTCAAAGAGGCATGCGGTGAGCTCGACGACCACGTTCATGCGCCGCTTGAAGAGGAAGGGGGTCGAGTACGCGTTAAACATGGTGAGCGAGCCGCCGATCGCGATCAAAACCACCGACACGAGGAACAGGTCGAAGCCGGTGGCGCGCCAGACTGGCTCACACAGGGCGATGCCGATGAGACCTGAGATCTCGATAATTCCAGCGACCAGCGTCCCGACCGCGGGGCCAAAGCTGTCAACCAGCATGCCAGCAGGCACGGCCACGAAAGACACCGCGGTGGAACCTATCGTGAACGCCAGATTGAGCGCATTCGCCTGCGCCTCGCACGGCGGTGGCTGCGCTGAATCGGTACAGAGCGACGCGTAGAAGCCCTCCTCAATGAGGATCGCGTTGAACGGGGCCCAGCCGAAGACAATGCCGGAGAAGAGGAACACGGAGGCGAGGTCGAGGACGAGGAGAAGCCCGAGCAGAGGCCTCATTCGACAGAGCTGCCTCGTGCAAGGTTGGCTGTGGTGGGGGTACGGCTTCTCTCGAGGTCTCTCTCTCGAGGTTCTCGAGGTGGATATCCTTTGGCCGCGTTGGGTAGCGAGGATTGGTGTAACCCGAGCCACGGAGGCGTGTTTTCTGACGGCCGACCGTCAGTGCACGGAGTTGCCCCTTCTCCGACTGCCCCGGCTAGTTCCCGAGGTCGCGCGGGAGTGACCCCTGCGTCCCCCGAGACCTAGCGCGGGTGGGTTGGAGGGGGCTCGCCCCGCTCCTCCCCATCGGGCCGCATGAGCGGCCACGCCTCGCAGATTCGTTTCTCGCGCCTGGGTCAGGCGCGCGGGGCATCCCCCGGGTCGCTCGACCAGCGATCCGAAGAGTGGCCGCTATGCGGGGGAAAGAGCGGGGCCCTCGGGGTACGCCTCCGTCCGGCCCCCTCCGAGGGGGGAAGGGAATGGCGGGGTCCCCTCGGGCGCCTCAGTTCGGCCCTCCCGAGGGGGGGAGGGGAGCAAGGGGGTGGGGGGATCGGGGCGGTGGGGAGGGGTCTCGATTTCGTGTGGCTAAAACTTGCCTTTCGGGGAGGGGCCTCCGTTCAAGCGCTCATCACAGGAGTGAGAGCTGCCTGACGTCTTCCCCCCCTCCCTCGAGGCAGCGAGTAGGCAGCGAGTGGGGGTGTCGAGCGCCTATAAGATGGTGTGTGATGGTGGCGGTCGCCTGTGTGAGAGGTGATTGGGGGGTGGGGGGGAGGGGTTGGGCGGCTGGTGGGCGGGCGGGCGGGGCGGGGTGAGGGGGGGGGGGGGGGGGATCGTATTTAGCGTCGGCAGTAGCGGCAGTAGTGGCAGCGGCAGCAGCTGCAGCCGCAGCCGCAGCCGCAGCAGAAGCAGCAGCATCAGCAGCAGCAGCAGCAGCAGTAGTGGCAGCAGCAGCAGCAGCCAGCAGCAGCAGCCTCGCCTCCTGCGGTGTCTAGCTCTTTCAGTCTATCTAGGCGGCCGCGAGGTTAATATACAGAATAATGGTGTCAAAACACCGGGTGGTCGGCGCGCAGGCACCTGAGGGCGTCTTGCCGAGCGCGCAATCGGCTCGAGGTCTCTGCCGTTTCTATCTTTTTTTCAGCTATCGGTCTGGCTACCCGAGTAGAACGGCGCGCAGCGCGGCCAACGCAGCCTTCGCGCCAAATCCTCGCCCAAATTTCTCTTTCCAGTCCCGTAAAAGAAAAAAACAGACAAAAGGGAGGGATGGGAGGACGGTGCCCAAGAAATATTCAAAAGACGTATGTCTTTTCGAATCCGGACGATGTGCTGACAGTCACCACTGCGGTTGTCATCCAAATTGGCACGTTGAGCGGAGCGAACTTGGCAAACTCGGCTGCTTCCGGCGGCATAGGACGCCCAACGGGATACGCACGCATGTCCACTATCTTTCGAGTGGGATCACGTTGCTCCTCGAGTCGTCCAACAGCGTCGTAGGCTGGACCGGAGAGCTCAAGATCTCCGATGTGTAATATGCGATGACTCGTCTCTTCGTCGTCGTTGACTCGAACCCACTGGAGTTCGAGATCTGGTGCTTCGTTCCGTGCACGGGTGCCACGCAGCGCACCACGCTTGGGCATGGTGACGGGTCGATCGTCGCGATCGTGGAGCTTGGCCTCAGCCGCCGCACGGCGACGCGATGTCGTCGGGGCAGCTCAAACCTCAAATTTCTTTTTTCTTGAATCTCCCCCCCCTTCCCATCTCCACTGGCGGTCTCATCTCAGTCTAGCGACCTGCCTCCAGCTTCTCGCTGGCAGTCTCTCGCGACCACAGGCACACTGACACAGGGGTGGCAGGGGCGGCGGCAGGAGTCTCCCACATACTATGCGGGCCTCGCTAGAGGTGCGTCCTGTGTGTGTCCTCGTCCTTGAGGTCTTGAGGGGGAAGGGGAAGGGGCTGTGTGTCTGTGCATGCATGCATGCATGCATGCATGCATGCATGCATGCATGCATGCATGCATGTGTGTGTGTGTGTGTGTGTGTGTGTGTGTGTGTGTGTGTGTGTGTGTGTGTGTGTGTGTGTGTGTGTGTGTGTGTGTGTGTGTGTGTGTGTGTGTGTGTGTGTGTGTGTGTGTGTGTGCGTGTGTGTGTGTGTGTGTGTGTGTGTGTGTGTGTGTGTGTGTGTGTGGAGAGCATGCTGCTCTAGCCTCACATGTCACTTCCTGTCGTCTGTTGTTTGTTGTGCCCTTGTTTGTTTCTCTTGGCACCTTGGAGTGCTGGGGGGGGGCGACAGGGAGGATGTGGCCTTGAGTTATGTGTACGCCAACTCAGGGTGTGTGGCAGCCAGCTGGCTGTGTGTCTTGTGAGCTTGTTTGTGTCTGTGTGTCGCTCGTGCGTGTCGTCATCATCTGTCCAGCGTCCACCCATACCGCGTTGGTGTCCAGTCCGAGCCTGGCTGTTCTTCACCTTTCTACCTACCTACCTACCTACCTACTGTGTGTGCGTGTGCGTGTGCGTGTGCGTGTGCGTGTGCGTGTGCGTGTGCGTGTGTGCGTGTGTGGGCGCTGTGCGAGCCGCCCTGAGAACGACCACGAGCGCGCCGCGAGCGTGTGCTACTCTGGCTTGGGCAGGTTCAAAGGTCTGGCAACGAATTTTGTTCAGGCGCATCCGTTTCGTTCAAGTGTGTCCGAGCGCCTCTTTCACAAGACCTCGCTCTGCAGCCGCGATGTGAATTTTATTACGGCGGACACGACGGCGCTCCACGACGGCGCCCATTACCTGCCAGAAAGCCACCTCCCTCGCACTTCCATGCCGTGGGCTGCGCAGTCAGCCCAACACTTCTTTGGCATCGTCGACCCTCCGCCTCCTTTACGGCACCATCATCTCCCGCCGCCGCCCGGCGGCACGCCCCTGCCGGTTCGGCAGCATGGCCCCGTCCCGTATCCTCCGCCGCCAGTGCCGCCGTTTCCCCCGTCGCCTCCCCTGCCGCCGCCGCCTTCGCCGCCGTCGTTGCCGCCGCCGTCGCCGCCTCCGGCGCCACCATCTCAACCGCCGCTGCAGCCACCGCCGTCTCCGCCGCCGCCACCGTCGCCGCCGAAGCTGCCGCCCTCGCCGCCCTCTCCGCCCTCGCTGCCCTCGCCGCCCTCGCTGCCTCCGCCGCCTCCTCCGCCGCCGTCCCCTCCGTGGCCCCCTCCCCCGCCGTTCCCGCCTCTGTTCCCAGCTGGCTTCGACAAGCTCGGCGGGTTGCCAGCCTTAGATGGGAAGTATATGCCCTTCACGCGACGGCTCATTCTATCACTCCGACTCGCGGTCGAGAGAACGCGTGTTCAGCTGCATTCTGCGCGTTGCAGCCGTATTCACTGTGTTAGCAAGCCCGTGTCTTCGCGACCCGTTGAAGACACGCCCTCATTACTGGCGTCCTTCAAGTAGTAAGCAGGCTGTAGTGTCTATGCCAGCTCTTCAAGTAGTGAGCAGGCAGTAATAAGCAACTCCCCCCCCCCAGCTTGGACCCCTCCCCCCCCCCTGTCACGACGTAGGTTTGCCTGCGCTCCGATTTACCGAGAGCGCTCGCGGCTGCCGGGCGGCCCCGCGTACCTAGCCTTGCACGGCACCAAGGGCGGTTGGTGCGGATCGACGGAGGCGCGCGCGCGCGCGCGCGCGGCGCCGTTAGTAGACCAGAGTAGGATAGCCGTTAGTAGACCAGAGTAGGATAGCCCCACCCGCAGCACAGGTCGTCGTCCGCAGTAAAGTGGGCCACCTACTCGTCCAAGTTCCGACCCGTAGCCAGTGACTGCGCATAGCGACAGGAGACGTGGCGTGGGGTCCCACAGGGAGGGGGGGAGACTGGAGCCACGGTGGCCGAGACCCCTTCCTCTCTGCCCTCCGCCAGGAGCGCAATGCCGACCAGGCCGAGTGCGAGAGCTACTACCTCACCGCAGAGAAGGAGGGCGGGCGGGCGATCGGCGAGGCGGGTCCTCGGGAGAATACTTGATCCATCTGCGGAGTGGAATAGGAGACCGGGCACAACGACGAGTCGCGCCTCTCGAGCAGTCAATTCGAAGTGTCAATTAATTAGTTCATTAGGAGACCGGGCGCAACGACGAGTCGCGCATCTCGGAGAACTACATGGAGGGGCGGCAGGTGCTCTACCTTCGTCAGTAGTAAGCAACTCCTCCATTCCAAGATCGGGCCCCTAGAGCTCTATCCCCCCCCCCCCCCCCACGCCCCGTCTCCGTGTGTGTTAAGCCACGTCCCCTGTGTCGCTAGTCGCTTGGGTGGTGTCGGTAGAGGGGTCCGAGCTTGGAGTTGCTTACTATACTACTAGGTGCTCTACCTGTGCTACTGGCGGCGCTTCCTCAACCTGTGGACGGGCGTCTGGGACTCAAGGTGCACCAGAGCAGTCGAGAGGCAGCTCGAACCACTCTCGCCTCACGAATGGACCAACTTGTGGGCGGTGTGTGTCCAAGGTGCGCGGTGGACTGGGCCGCGCCAATCTACTGCTCCCTGCCACCCTATCCGCCGCCGCTGCCGCCGAGAGCGCCGCCGCCTCTCCTGCCGCCGCCGGCTCCTTGCGGCGACCAATTGGCGGGGCGGCAGCAGCTGCGCGACGGGCGCACCGCCAAGCACTGCTGGGAGCTGCCGTCCTCCCATGCTGCGTGCGAGCGGTACTACTCGAACACTTCGGCGGGGACGGCCCTCTGTGTGGCGCCGGCGGAGAGCGAGGCGGCCGTGTGCGGCCAGTCGGACTTCATCCTCGACTGCATCTCGCCGCCGCCCTCGCCGCCCTCGCCGCCCTCGCCGCCGCCCTCGCCGGCGGCCCCAAGTCCGGGTCGGCCGATCTCCGCCCTCGAGGCCGCGATCGGCATCGACCCCGAGACTCGGCCGATCTTCGCGGCGAGCGCGCTGGCGGCGTTCTCGGTCGGGTTCCTCCTCTTCCTGGCTTTCTTTGCGAGTCCGCCCGCCGCCGCCGCGCCGCCGCCGCCGGACGAGGAGGAAGAGGAGGCCGACGCCGCCGCCGCCAGAGGGGAGGGGAACGGCTCCTCTCTGCTCGAGGGCGCGCGCGGCGTTGAGCGACGAGACGCGGGCGGGTGTCGAGAGCTGCTGTCCATGGGAACCGTCTCGGAACTTTCCTGCGTAGGCGCCGTGCGGAGCGACGAGGCGGGCCGCCGGCCGCCGCGTTTCCCGCCTCCCACCCCAGTCCCTGTGTGGATTTAAGCCACGTCACTTGCATCGCTAGTCGCTTGGGGCGTGGATAGGGGTCCGATCTTGGAAGTGAGGCGAGGTTTACGGGGTGTACTACCATTAGGCGGCCGCCGCGTGCGGGTCGTGGACTGAGTTTGCGCACGACGCGTGGAGCAAGTTGGCGCACGACGCGCAGCACGCCGCGTCTGCCGCCTTCTTCTCGAACTTGTCCGACCTCGCCCGCAACGTGAAGGAGGTCAGCTCTCGCGCCTCCCAGACGAGCGGCGCTGTCCCCCCCCCCCCCCCCCTCGTCTTTTGACCCCCGCGAGTTGTCTCTGTCTGCCCACAGGAGAAGCGCCTCTCGCTGTCGGGCGGTCAGCTCCCGGGCCCGACGGCGGCGGCGGCGGCGGCGGCGGCGGCGGCAGAGTACGGCGAGAGCGAGGCTGCGGGGGTGGCGGCGAGGATCGCGGCACGATTGGGCGGGAGCTTTGAGGACGCGGAGCAGTACTGATGAGTCTCGATCGGAGTTTGGGCCGCGCGCTGTGCGGCCGGGCAGGCATCACTCCCCATGCATGTCGCCCGATCGCCTGCTCACAGCAGTCAGCTCACCGCCTCTCGCACACTCAATACTCTATGGACATGGTAAGTTGTCGTCGTTTCGCGTACAGTAGGCTATATGTGTATATGTAGGGTCCTAGAAGACCAAGTCCCCGCTTCGGCCATCCAGTCGTGAGGAGTCGACGTTTTGGGTGTGAGAACGGCGTTCTCTGGGTAAGCTCAGCTGTGAACTTCCCAGTTGTTTGCTCTTGCTTGCGCGTGGCCCTTGCGTGCACGCCCAAGCTCGAGCGGCATCACGCAGAGCGAGCTCTGCGCAGGTCCCGCGACCTTCTCGGGCAGGAGCCCACCTCTCCTTCCCTCCGTGCGCCCAACGATATGGGCAAATCCGCGCCGAAGCGCGCTTCCGACGCTGACCAAGACGAACGGCCCGCAGAGGCCAAAGCTGGCTCTGGGCAGGAGCCCCCCCCCTCGGGGGCTGGCGGGGGCAGCGACGGGGCCCCAGCCGCGCCTCCCGCTCCCGTGGACTCGGCCGAGGAGCTGCGAGTGCTTCGCAAGCGGCTCGAGCAGCTCGAGGCCCAAGCCGCCCGGCCCGTCGCACAGCCCGACGGGGGAGACCCCCCACCGGGCGGCGGCGGCGGCGGCGGCGACGGCGGCGGAGCGGGCGGCAAGGCGGCCAAGGACCGCGAGCGGGTGCGCCCCGACCCTCCCACCCCCCCAGACTCCGACGCCGACTCGTCGGAGGACGACGTGGGCGGCGGTGGTCACCGCGGCCCCCCCCGCCTCGGCGGCGGCGTCGGTCGCGACGACGCTGTCGGCGAGCTGTTCGGCGGACACGTGCTCGCCTGCGACTACGACAGCGACAACCCCTTCGAGCGGAAGCGGGGACTGCAGCAGCGGACCTCGCACTACTCGCCAGCGGCGGCGGGCGACACCGTGCACGCAGAGCTGCACCGCAAGCTCGGGGCCGCAAACCAACGGGAGGTGTGCCCTCCTTCCCTCCCTCTCGTACATGTACGACTTGTGCGCGCACCTCGAGCGGCTCGAAGACGCGATCGGCGACGAGCGAGATGATCCCGGAGATTCCCGCAGGGCGCTGCGGCTCGTGCACGAGCAGGTGCGAGCGAGTATTGTATAAGAATACTGTAAGGCATATCGGTTCCCTGGGCGTTCACTAGCGCTCGCTTGTGCCTAAAAACCCAGCCCAGTAAACTATCGAAAATGATCACGGATTTCAGAGTCTTCTGATAAATGCAGTATGGAAGATACAAAGAGACGGAGGAGCAACGAGCGCCCTGGCGTGAGCCGAAGACACTCCCTCCGTAGACACTGATCACACACGGGTGGGACAGGGTGGGTCACAACAACGAGGCACGAGAGCGTGCACGACAGAGCGACAACGCAGCGCACTGCCGTCCAGTCGGCGAAGGGACGGCTGCTGCGCAAAGTGATCAGTTCTAATGAATGTACCGGGGCCCAACGGATAGATGAATCCGGGGCACCCTCCGCTCGAATCCCTGGCCGGGGGTTCGAGGTGGCCCCCACCCTGGGGCCTCCCATCAAAGGGACTGCGGCAGAAGACGCCCAATCTTGCACAAGTGCAAGAACCATGCGTCTTCTGATAAATGCAGTATGGAAGATACAAAGAGACGGAGGAGCAACGAGCGCCCTGGCGTGAGCCGAAGACACTCCCCAACTGCGCTCCGTCACCGGTGTCGCGGTCTCCCCCACTGAGGACGATCTGCGGGGGGGAGTCGCGCCGCCGGCATGTATCTGTGCAACTGTGTTTTTGCCTTGTCCCGCTTGATGGAGCAAAGTCACGGGCCGCCCGCGCTTGAAGGCGGTCGCGCCAGGCGCGGGCGGCACTAGTTGCCGGCGATCCGCTTGGGCAGCGCCCGCGCTTGCCTCTGGCTGGGTCTCCATAGGTCGCGCGGCCCGAATGCTCGAATTGAACGTCTCGCAAGCTGGCGTCGCTCGCGTAGCTGTGGCAGGGCGATCCTCCCTTCGGATGAAGGAGATCTCTAGCCTCCTAACGAGGTTGCCCTCCGCCTGGCTGTTGGCGGACAGCAGTTAAGAGGCCGGACATGTCGCGCAAGCCTTCCCTGCAGTCTGACTGTCAACATCTGGGTCTGTCTGTTTGCTCTCGAAGGTACATCATGTGTGAGCGATCTGCGCGGCCGCCGAATAAATAAATCAAAAAAACGGACACCCCTCAACCGAGAAGATATGTGGGTAAAACCAGCAGCAAGTCTAACTCAGTGCCTCTGGTGGCTGCCTCCTCGGGCTCGGCCCAGCCGTGGCGCCGAACCGAATCCTCTCCCCGTTGAGAGCTCCGCGAGAAGCCTGAGCATCCCCTCCTTGTCCAACTGCGTTTCTCACTGCCCCGTCGCCCACATCTCGATCTTCTTGGGCAGCAGCTGGTTCGACAGGTCCTCTCCGTGGCCTAGACAGCCGTGGCAGCCCTCGCCCCAGGTAAAGTCGGCGCCGTCGGCGGTGCGGGCGAGGCTGTGGCATGTTCCCGCCGACAGAGCGAGGACGCGCTGCCCAGCAAAGGCCTCGATCTTCTTGGGCAGCAGCTGGTCCAGCTCGTCGCCGTGGCCCAACCGGCCATAGGCTCCATGGCCCCAGCTCCAGACGGCGCCGTCGGCGGTGATTGCCATGCTGTGGCAGTGCCCTGCTGACACAGCGAGGACGCGCTGGCCACCAAAGGCCTCGATCTTCTTCGGCAGCAGCTGGTTCTGCTCGTCGCCGTGGCCCAGCTGGCCAATGGCTCCACCGCCCCAGCTCCAAACACTGCCGTTGGCGGTGATGGCGAGACTGTGGCCGCCTCCAGCCGACACAGCGATGACGCGCCGCCCAGACAAGGCCTCGATCTTCTTCGGCAGCAGCTGGATCTGCTGGTCGCCGTGGCCCAACTTGCCCAAGTAGCCTGCGCCCCAGCTCCAGAGGGCGCCGTCAGCGGTGAGGGCGAGGTTGTGGTACCTCGCAGCCGTCACGGTGACGACGCGCTGCCCAGCAAAGGCCTCGATCTTCTTCGGCAGCAGCTGGTTCTGGTAGTCGCCGTGGCCCAGCTTGCCAAAGTTTCCACCGCCCCAGCTCCAGAGGGCGCCGTCGGCGGTGAGGACAAGGCTGTGGACCACTCGACCCGACACGGCGACGACGCGCTGGTCAGCAAAGGCCTCGATCTTCGTCGGCTGCCACTGGTGCTGCGCGTCGCCGTGGCCCAGCCTGCCCGAGTAGCCATTGCCCCAGCTCCAGAGGGCGCCGTCGGCGGTGAGGGCGAGGCTGTGGGCGTCTCCAGTCGACACGCTCACGGCGCGCTCGCCACCCAGCGGGGAAGGGAGGCGGGTCGGCGTGTTGAGCCGCGTCACGCCCTCGCCGTGACCGAGCAGCCCTGGATAGTAGGACGGCGCCGTGCCGCACGACGAGAGCCGCCCCTCGCCGTCGATGAAGACGCTGTGCTGTTCGCATGCCGCAGCCTTCGCCGGCGGGTTGGCCTCGCGCAGCAGCGCCGAATAGCACAGCCATCGCATGGCGCAGCTCTCGCCCTCTGGCTGCGCCGGCAGCTCCAAGCCGCGCTCTTGCGCCCACAAGCGGATGCCCCGCTCCGCGAGAGAGGCGTGGAAGAGGAGCGAGACGGCCGCGGCGCGAGCGATGTCGAGGGGGCTGTCGCAGCGAGAGAGGATGCGCTCGAGGAGCTCCGTGGGCAGGTCGAGGAGGCGGGCGGGGGGCGGCGTGCTTGGCGAGGGCGCGGCGGCGGCGGCGGAGGCGAGGCGGCGCGAGCGGCGGCGCGGCGGGGTGGACATATACACGTATCTATCTGGGTTCTCGCGCGCTCTTTTCTTTTTTCGGGTTCTCGAGGTGAGGTGGATATCCTTTGGCCGCGTTGGGTAATTGGTGTAACCCGAGCCACGGAGGCGTGTTTTCTGGCGGCCGACCGTCAGTGCACGGAGTTGCCACTTCTCCGACTGCCCCGGCTAGTTCCCGAGGTCGTCGGGTGTGACCCCTTCGCCGCCCGAGACCTAGCGCGGGTGGGTTGGAGGGGGCTCGCCCCGTTCCTCCCCATCGGGCCGCGTGAGCGGCCTCGCCTCGCAGATTCGTTTTTCGCGCCTGGGTCAGGCGCGCGGGGCATCCCCCGGGTCGCTCGACCAGCGATCCGAAGAGTGGCCGCTATGCGAGGGAAAGAGTGGGGCCCACGGGGTACGCCTCCGTCCGGCCCCCTCCGAGAGGGGGGAAGGGAATTGTGGGGTCCCCACGGGCGCCTCAGTTCGGCCCTCCCGAGGGGGGGGAGGGGAGCAAGGGGGTGGGGGGATCGGGGCGGGGGGGGAGGGGTCTCGGGTTTCATGTGGCTAAGACTTGCCCTTTCGGGGAGGGGCCTCAGGAAAGGCGAGTCCAGCGAGAAGGGCAGGGTGCGGCGCGGGCGAACGAAGCGGAGGGAGGCGCAGCGCGCGGGCAAGCTCACGTCGCTCGCAAAAGGCATCCGCGCAGGCCGCTGAGTGGCAGGGGGGAGGGGACGCCCTCCCTCTGCCTGAGCGCTGCCTATTGGTTGTGGGGGGTGCGCTCTGTCTGTCGGTGTTTGCTGTATGCTGATGAGTGCCCGGCGGAGTGAGCATGCACCCACCCTCGAATGGAAAGAATTTTAACGACTGCAGCTCCCCGTTCTATCGCGATCTACTGGGATCTACCGCGGTCTTGCGCGATCTGCATGCGTAGAGATCTCGCGCAATTACCTCGGAGCTCGGTAGATCCCCGCAGCGCTTTGGTTATGGTTTCACACACGCCATTACGCCAACGGTAAATGTCAGGGAGGCGGAGCTCTCATCACTCATGTCTCAAAATCAGGTAATGCCGATCTTTTCCGGAAAATAGGACAAATCATACAATCGGTAGGTGTTGAGAGCGTGCGCCGAGATTAACAGACAGAGAGGCGGGACAGAGAGCGCGCGAGAGAGAGAGACTGCTGAGGGGAGCGGGCGGAGTGAGAGTCTGAGAGAGCAGAGACTCAGAGTGTGTGACGCGGAGAGGCTGGAGGGTGTATTACACGACGACTGAAGGCGTCTGGGGGGGAATGTCGGATGGGAAAAGCGGCATGCAAAAGATGGCGCACAAGTCAGAGTCCGGCGGAGCTCCTCCTCCGCAGGCGGAAGGGGCTTCCGGTGGGCAGCGGCGCGAGCAAGCAGCGGCGGTGTGGGAGTCGGCTCGCTAGAGCACGTGGCGCCGGCGCCCCCCCTCCTCCTCCTCCTGCCCCCCGGCGGGGAGGGAGGGGCGCGGGCTCGACGCCGCCTCACGCCGCCTCGCTGCTCTTCGGCGCTCGCCTGCGGATGTACTTTTCGTACAGCGACGGCGTCTTGCGCGCCTTGCACACCTCGTCGTACAGGTTGGTGCGGTACTCTGCGAGCGTCTTCTTCTCGCCGTCGTCGATCGGGATGACCAGCTCCCCGTCGAAGCCCAGCTCCTTGCCCGTGTAGAAGTCCGCCATCCACCGGTGCGCCAGCGCGCCCTCCACCGTTAACCGCGCCGTCGGGTCGAACGTCATCAGGTTCTTGACCTAATCTCGGGTCATCTCGGGTCACCTCGGGTCCTCTCGGGGCCGGCGAGCATCAGCACCAGGCTCTTGACCATGTCGATCGCCTCGGGGGGCGCGCCGCTCATGATGGCGTCCATCGACCGGAACGCGAGCCTGTGCCCGGCCGGCAGGATCGAGTCGATCATCGTCTTTGCGTACTTTGACTGCATCGCGGCGATGTCCTCCTCCGTCGGCTTGCCCGTCACCTCGATCACCTTCTTGAGCTGATCCATCGTGCTCGTGCCTGCTCACAGCAGGAGGAGGTGTGAAGAGCTGCTCGCACCCTCTCGAGCCGATCTATCTCGTTGCGCGTGCCGGGCAGCAACGGCCGGCCGACGAACATCTCCGCGACGATGCAGCCGACCGCCCACATGTCGACCGCCTAGTCGAGATCTGGGGAGATATGGCGAGATACGGGGAGAAATGGGACCGCCCACCTGTCGACCGCCTTTGTGTAGCAGGTGGAGCCGAGCATGATCTCCGGCGCGCGGTACCTGACACGGGGGGGAGGGAGGGCGCCGTGTCTCCGCAATGTCGCGGAGGTGTCTCGGAGGCAATGTCGCGGAGGTGTCTCGGAAGCGTCTCGGAGGTATCTGAGAGTGTCTCGGCTCTCTCTCTCTCGGCTCTCTCTCTCGGCTCTCTCTCGGCTCTCTCTCTGTTTCTTGGCTCTCTCTCGGCTCTCTCTCTCTCTCGGCTGTCTCTCGGCTCTCTCTCTCTGTGTTTCTCGGCTCTCTCTCTGTATCTCGGCTGTCTCTCGCGGCACCAGCGCGTTGCAACGTAGTCTGTCAGCACTGACGCCGACTCCTCGCCTAGTCGAGAGACGGGGAGATGTGGCGAGATGCGGGGAGATGTCAGCACCGACACGCCGACTCCTTGCCTCGCTTGAGCGCGCGCAGCGAGCGCGCCAGCCCAAAGTCGGCGACCTTGCAGAGGCACTCTTCGTGTGATCTCGTGTGATCTCGTGTGATCTCGTGTGATCTCAAGTCGGCGACCTTGCAGAGGCACTCCTCGTTGAGCAGCAGGTTTGACGGCTTGAGGTCGCGGTGCACCTGCAAGAGAAGGATGGCGGGGAAAGGTCGGAAGAAAGGTCCGGGAAGGGTGCGAGGAAGGGGTTCGGGAAAGGTCTGAGGAAGGGTCCGGGAAAGGTCTCCAGCCCCGCACCATCTCACCGGCCTCATCTCCCATCCAGCTCCATCTCCCTCCATCCGCCCGATCTCGCCCGACCTCGCCCGACCTCGCCCGACCTCGCCCGACCTCGCCCGACCTCGCCCGATCTCGCCCGACCTCGCCCGACCTCGCCCGATCTCGCCCGATCTCGCCCGACCTCGCCCGACCTCGCCCGACCTCGCCCGATCTCGCCAGATCTCGCCAGATCTCGCCCGGGTG